CACTGCACACATATGCACAGCTGTTTGTCTGCCTCACTGATGTCTGACTCTGAAGGCAGCTGATAACTGGCATACGGCTCTGACCCTCTCTCTGCCTCCAACACAGAGCCCTCATCAAAACCTTCTCCAGACTCCAGGACTGGCCCATGTTCCTCCCCAACTTCCTCACTGTCTGAATCTGCTGCCAGCTCTGCTGGCTGTTGGCGGGCCACAACATAAACCTAGACTCCTTCCCGTTGTGCCGTTATTCTATTTTTAGCAGATACTCAATACAATAGGTTTTTGGACATACTCAGTCTGCCATTCAGAATTCTCTGTGATTTAGAGGAGAGACTGTCCTTCTTGGTTTTATTTCAAAGATCTCCCATGTTTCTTCATATTTTGTTCTAGCTGAGATTGTGAAAGGAAAAAGAAGGGTAGGTCCACATTTGGGAATGTTTAATTAACGTAAACATCCCGCAGGGGAGAAAAGAGGAACTGAAAAAATATAAAGCTAGGATTTTGTTCAGAAAATGTCTTGCAGGTGATGGCAGTTGAAACTATTTTCTCCACCAACATGGAGTATTGTGTCCCATTTCATGATTGTAGCATTTTATTTTGCTGTGCATATAAACTAGGTTTTTAAGGCAAAGAATATAATTTGGTAATCTTAACGAAATATATTAAATATATGATCTCAGATGCCATCTTGACAGTTAATCTCAGTTTTAAGGCATGGAACAAAATGTAATACTCTGTTTCCCTAGAAATACCCCCCCCCCCGGATAAAAAAAAAACCCAACTGGGCTTTTGAGCGCATGCACTAAAATAAGCCCTCCCCTGAAAATAACTCCTCCCTGAGAATATTGCAACACAGCAGCAGCCATGAGGTGACCATGCTTGCCACCTCCTGTACCTGAAAAATAATAAGACCTCTCCGAAAATAAGGCCAAGTGCTTATTTCAGGGATCAAAAGAAAATAAGACCTTCTCTTATTATCGGGAAAACATAGTAGTACAGTGATATCAAAGGAGGCAAACATAGGCCATCTGGAATCAAACATCCAGTTTCTATCCAATAAACAGCATTGGTTCTTTATTCTAATTTGTGTCTTCGTACATCCTCTGATCCTGTGGTTTTCTGTTCAGTCATCATTTAAATATGTTTGCATTATGCATTTTCATGCAATCAATGACTTGTTTTGAAATTCTACCTTTTGCATTTCTGTGGAGAACTGTGGAGGATACCTGGAAAGAGTTGTCTTCCTAAGGCTTGGAGTTTTCTCCAGCCAAAGCTGGGAGTGATGAAATAGATAGATAGATAGATAGATAGATAGATAGATAGATAGATAGATAGATAGATAGATAGATAGATAGATAGATAGATAGATAGATAG